TGTACATTTTTTTTTCAATCAGCAAGACTATTATAAGTTTTTGATGTAAAAAAATATTGTTCAAATTTTAACATTATACACACACACACACACACACACACACACGGCAAAATTGTCCTGATGAAAGGCACCTTTGAATATAGCTGAGTCTCTCCCTCCCCTGTAACGTGGATTAAGGCAAGAGTATTTCATTGCTGTACTGAGAATTGCCATCCTCCCCACAAAAAAATACTACCTCCTTGACTGCTGCTTGCATGGATCAAGAAATTAGCAATTTGCAATAGTGTCCAAAACATCTTGTTTTATTAAACAGTTTGTGGGAGAGCCAAAGAAAGAGGCATAGTTTTAGTTCTGACATGTCTTCAGGGAGCAAGCAATATTACCTGATACACAGGGGTATGATGACATTGTTTTTAGATTTTTTTTTTAAACCCCCCCATGTCATTCTTTATAAAAGCAACACATTTCAGTTATGAGGTGAGCAAGCTAGAAAAAAGAATGTTCAGTCTGGTTTAGTTGAAGACATTTCAAAACTGTTGATCAGTCTGGACTATTGGATCCAGTTCAAATGTCTTTCTGCTATTTCCTATTTTTAATAATAAGTAAGAATTTCTTTTAATGGCTGCCTTCTAAATTTTGGTTAGCCTATTTTGCACTGCTTTATTTCTCCAAAATGAACTACTGATATGTAATTGTGCATTTTATATTTATTTACAAATGATAGATATATTTTGTAAATTCTCTGAAGTCTTAACACAAAGTATATCTTATAAAAATGCAGTCCAGATCCTGACTTTAACTAGAATCTAATTTAATTCTGTAGTCAAATAGGTTGTCAGCTTCTTTCACCCCATGATATAACTGCTGCTTATTTAAACAACAAGAAAGTTGCTTTTTCATATCTTACATATAGTTTAATAAGTTGGCATTACAACTGGGCTGACCAGCAGATAGTTTGTTATTCTTTCTGTGATTTCTTCTATCAGAGTATTTTGTGTGAAAAAATATTGTCAGGTTCCAGAGAGAGCACAGTGCACTATTACATTACAGAGCAATGAGCATATGGTACCCAAAAAAGTTAAATCAGTGCAAAATCAATTCTTTCATCTCTGTTTTGTTGCAGTAAGTTTCCTGAACTCTTTCTCAGTCTAGAGATGCTGCCATGTGTTACTCCCCAAGAGTAGTTTTATGTGTGAACTGAAATGTGCTGAACAGTCTCACATTTATCATAGAGATTGAAGAGAAATGTGTCTTTCTTTTTTCTTCTGGAAAGCCCTGGGAGAGGAGTGTTGTAGTTTGGTTGTATGATTCCAATTTTTGTTTCAATCCTGAAAGGCCAGCTCTACTTCTGAGGGTCTATTGAGTAATAGCAAAAATGTTGCCAATACATGTAGATCCCCAAAGAAGCACTGCTAACATCGTTAGATATTGAAGGATAATGAAAGTAGACATGCTTAAATGTATACAAGTAGCATTCATGTTTAAGAAAGTGTAGCTATCCATAACTGCTTCTCTACTTGTGGCAGCAAAAGTAAGAAGCAACTCTTTTAATATTTTTTCTGCTTTCCTATATGTATATTACAAATAATCTTTTGTGACTAGAATGTTTTTTTATATAGAGCATATTTCCAATAATATACTCTAAATCTCCCTACCAGAACCAATCCACCTTCTTTATTACAGTAATAGGTATTTTGGTGTAAAATTTGGTAGAAATCTTCACATGATTAAAAAGAGCTAAAAATGAAAAAACCTCAATCAATTTGAGCTATCACATTCTGTTCAAAATCTGAGGAGGGATTACATTTTAGACTTACGTGAGTGAACAATATCTGTTCCACAGCTAGATTTCCCAAAATGTAAAATGAGAGATAGTTGATACTAGAAAATGGTTAAACTTAAATTTTTAATCTTCAACAAAGACACTTTTTACTAAAGGTCATATAAAAAAGAATTTAAATCTCTTTTCAAGTTAATTTCAAAATATGGTAATCAATTATTTTACATTTTACATATGTTGTTCCTTTATTTGTATAATCAATTATAAATTGTAATTCATTGTTTAAAAAAATACCAGAAATTTACATTTTAAAGATGAACTTAAACCAAGAAATGATTAACTAGATTAACTAGAATTATTAATGACATAACATCAGAGCAAAACATGTGCTATTGTCTGAATAGGCTAATATAATTACTTTTTAGTCATGTAATATAAAATTCTCAGCTCTTAGATAAGTGTATCTTGTGTTTTTTTCTTTCAGCTACATCAGGATAAAGCAGATTAAGCTTTTTCTGAATCAGCAAGTCTCTTTAGGGCTCTCTTAGCTGGAAGCTTCCTTTCCATGCCTGATAACTCAGAAGTGCAGATTAGTTGGTCCAGGCATCCTATAAGGTCTTTTTGCAGGATGCTTATAACATGCTCGTTATATGTTAGCATGTTCTTGTTTGATAGCATCATGTGAGCTGGCAGGAGCAAACAGGTATATGGCATCTGTCGATTGAATGGTCTCCCAAACTTATTAAAGAATAAACTAATGTTCTTTTCAGAAGTGCCAGATTGATGCACCTTGAGTTTTGACGTCAGTTTTGAAATTCCCTTTTTTCTAGAAAAGGGTCTTGAGCCACTATCACTGGGAATGTAATGCAAGAACTCTTGATGTCCCAGTGGTATGCAAAGGGAACAGACTTTCTTTATTTTTTTTTTTCCCTCAGAATTTGCTGAAGTATTATGGTAGCCTCTCTAAGAAAATTATTCATGGCACTGAACTTAGGAAGAAAAAGTGTTGGACATGTGTGTATCTACAATACTAAGATACTGATTTTTTATTGTTTTTGCTGACTTCATATAAGTTATCTACTCCCTTCCATTCTCACTTTCTCCCTCCTGCCCCTCCCCCCTTGATATCTGTTTCCATCCATTAAGTGAAAAGTGGCTTGGCCACTGAGTTTGTATATTTTACATAGTTAAGTATTTTCTTGTGGACGCCTATAAGTGCTAGGTTAAAAGTTAACATTATTGCCCAGTTTATCTATCTATCTATCTATCTATCTATCTATCTATCTATCTATCTATCTATCTAT